GGTGAGGAGAGGAGCACCAGCAGGGCTGGAGTGTGGGGGGCCTTTAATTTTAATCACGGATTTTGGGGGTTTTAATCAGAGAATTCGCAACTTTTTAAAATCAGGGAAAACCAGGGTCCCTGGAGATCACACATCATCCCTGTGGCAGTAAAGGAACTGCCCATGTGGAAAGCACTAAGGAAGTTAAAATGCATTAATTCTCATCTTTTAATGCAATGTAACAGGCACAAATGGGGCATGAGCACCCCATGACTATCCAGAGTTCAGATCATTGGTAGGATGTTCCCACGACTGATTGTTTAGAAATCTCTGATATCAAGGCTGTCAAATTTAATTTAGACCTTCAGCCTTCACCTTGGCATGTGGATTCCTCTACTTCTGTGAACAGGCAAAGTGCTGAAAACAACAGGAATTCTGGTTTCTAGACTCCGAGGGAGCACGAAATTCTAGTAGGTACTGCCGGACCGGGACAATGCTGTCCTGCTCTTCACTTCTATTCTCATCTTCCTTTGTTTCTGCCTTGTCTGCTACTGATTCATTCCTCCTCCTCTGACTCTTCCTCCCATTACTGCTGTATAAAAACACTCACTTCACCTAATTCAAATCCCCCTTTTAAAGAAACCCTGATATTTTCTGTGAAGCCTACTGTAATTAATCCACTTATTTAACCTTGCCTCATTGTAAAAGGCACCCATGCTACTAAGTTACCTAGAACATTTTACATCCAAGACTTTTTTTTGGCTACACTCCTTAGGATAGAGGGTGTTTCTCTGTTTTGTACAGCATATCACCACGATCTCTTAAATAGCTGAGTGAATCAGTGAAGGAGGCAAGCACAAATTAGACCTCACTATAGCTGGTTATGTCACTAAACGTGACAACATAGATTGTTTTAAAATTTGACAAAACAGAATTAGCAGCAGTCAATTTTTCAGAAGTGCATTTGTACACAGAACCTACCAAGAGGCAGCTCATCAGACATCCAGGGTTATTACACAGTACACAGGTATTTCTCAAAATCTGGCCCAAAGTTAGCAGAGAAGCAGAAGATGCTTTTTGAAAATAGAAGAATCAGTCCACTAAACAGGTGACCAGCATAGAGTAAAATATGCACTTCACCGTTCCACTTTCATCTTACTATTTTTCTTTAAAGTTACAGTACAGTTACCTCAGAAACATTTAAAAGAAAAATTAAGGTGGGGAGCGGGAGAGGATTTCCAGCTTTTTCACGAGTATCCCTTTATAATCACTAGGGATCCTGGTTCTTTCAGATTTAAAAAAAGCCCTAATTTTTGGTTAAAAAAGTAACCCTAAATCCACACTTTCCTTGATTAAAATGAAACGTATCCATCCATCCATCCAGATTTGGGGTTATTTTTTTTAACCGAAAATTGGGGATTTTTTTTTTAAAATCAGAGAAAAACCACGATCCCTTCATGTTCATGCCCTAGAATCCTGAAAGCAAGCATTCACTTCCTGTTAATTTTGCCTTTGGCTTCACTGCCTCTTCCTTAATTCAGGGACCAGCAGAAAGTTAGCACAACTCTGGGATCATTCACTGTGGCTACAGGGCCAGCAAAGGGAGGTGCAGACAGGACTGGAAGCAGACAACACAGTAGGAGCCAGGAAGCTCTCCATCCAAGTCCTAACCTACTGCTCAGGATGTGGATGCTAGCTCTGCTTTCATGCCATCTAACTCTTAGCATCACCTTCTGCTGCCAGGCTTCTCATCTTTTATCCAGATCTCACTTTCTTTAAGCCTTAGTCCAACACTTCCATCCTCTTTTTGTGCATGTTTTATAATGTAGCTGCTGCTGACAAGCACACATTTTTCTTTTTAATTGACACCATACCTCATTTAATCCACAGGCTGAACTGCAAATAGTTACAATTTCAAGGCGCAGATCCTGGGAGAGCATGAACTGACTGAAGTGTTTCAGCTCTGGAAGATCTACATGCTGGAAAGTGGTGATGGCTATCAATATTGCACATGCTATTTGCTTGTCCATCTGGTGCCATTTGGTCTCTCATTCTTACAGAGACAGGGAGGCTCTTGAACATGTCTTTTTTTTTTTTTTTTTGAGACACACCCATCTTTTAAGGATCAGGCTTAAAAATAAATCTTTATGTAATTTAAAACTCTAATTTTAATTAGGAAACTAAAATACAACAGACACTACTCAGATCTGAGGAAGGGTACTTTGTACCCAAAAGCCTGTCTAATATCCCTCCCATTTGAACAGTCGGTCCAATAAAAGGCATCACCCACAGCAATTTTTGTCTCACACGTACTTTTTAGTTATATGATACAACAGAAAGACAATGAAACCGATTTTAAAGCAGAAATGTATTTATTTAAAGTTGTTTGTTTTCAAATCCTGATCTTTATCCACCCACTTCTCACAGTTAAACATGCTGTCCTAACTCATTCACTGGGCATCATCATCCAGCCCGTACACCAAATAAAGCACATGTAGTGCACCCTTGCATCACCCCATGCTCACACCATCCACTTCTTGCAAGGAATAAGCATGGATCCTATTTATAATGACAAGTCTTATCTGAAGGAAGATGCCAAACATCTTAAAGTCAAAGAAGGCAGTCAGGATGGAGCAAGTCTATGGGTCACACTAGTTACATTATGACAGCCAGAGGGGCAATTATCCTAGCAGGTAAAAACTTTATCTTCACACTCTCTGGTCTCTGGCCAAAACCCATCCAAGCTTAAGGTGGCAACAGGCAATTTGATGGTCTGCAAGAACTTGCATAGAGGGGTGGTTTCAAATGGCACAAAGCTCTTTGCTCTAGTAGACAAAGGCTGGTAAGTCAGGGATGCAAGGTGAGGCTAGGAAACCCAAACTAAGAAAACAGGATGCTTTTCTTTAGTTAGTGAGAGTAATAAGCCACTAGAAAAAGCTATTAAGGGAAGTATGAGGTTCTGCCATTTGAAGCATCTCATATCAAGTCTACATGTCTTCTAAAAATCATGCTCTACTACAATCACCAGTTGGTGGATCAGTATGAAAGTCACTGGGTGAAAACTTTATAATGCACACATGGATAGAAAATGACTGTAGGGTCATT